TTTTGCTCAAGACTTTTTAGATATTTTAAGCCACGCGCCATATATCGACTATTTAAGTAAAGGGCATTTCAAAGTGCTACTAGCGAAATGGTGGTGGGGATGCATTCAAGGTAAAGATCAATTTTCTCAATCAATTAACAGGGGTATCAACTACACATATGGAAGGCTTTTTACTATTGCAAACAAATTATTGAGAGGAATGTTCGATGGTTGATAGGGTAGGGTAACAAAGTTTCGTTCTAGTTTCATAAGTGGCTAGGGGTCCTACCTTTAGGGGTACTTCATCCTACACTTTTTGCTAGAGGGTCATGTCTCATGGCTAAGTTCAATGAGGTGGCTGAGAATGGGGGCTTAGGTCTTGTCTGGAATGTTACATTGCTCATAGGGTTCCAAATGTGAAAATTCTTCGACTCACTAACTCGTTGAAGGAGTTGGAAAGAGTCTTACTCTTAATGCTGAAGATGAGGTTATTTGAGAGTTATAGATTGATTGATTGTTTTTTGCTAAGCCTGCATATAGGCTATTGTTTTATGACCGCATTAGGTCGACACAACTTGTGATTAATAGAGTTTGGAAGTGGCTAGTTCCCCATAAAATTCAAGTATCTAGGTGAGTTGCGATGCAAAGTAAAGTTCTTATTATAGATAATTTAAAAAAAAAAGGCAAAATTATAACTAATATTAGTTTGAAGTGTAAGGAAGATAAGGAAATAATGGATGACCTATTCCTTTATTGTTATGCTGCTCCTCGTATCTAGGAGCAGCGTTTTCAGAGTTTGGCCTTTTCTTTGATATTACCAAGAAGCCATAAGGATATTACCGAACAATTTAGCATACCTGGGTTGCTTGGGAAACAAATTTGGAAAATTTAATTTGGGGTAGTGTTATGAGAGATATGGAAAGCGAGGAATAAATTAAAATTTTGATGGGTTATATTGAATGAGGAGAGAATTAAAAGTTGAAAATCCAAAATACTATAGGAGTTGATTCTCAATTACAAAAGAAGGTTGGGGTGTATCGGAAGTGGATGTTATGATATACATCGGGAATTTTGGTTAACCAATGAATTCCAAAGTCTAGACCAAAAGGTAGATAGAATCGTCATGTAGTGGGCTTTTATAAACTAAATATTAATGGGAGCTCACTTGGGAATCCGTGACCTGCAGGAGTAGGGGGAATACTTAGAGATTGAAATTGTAATATGGTACTTTGCAATAGTGGACCTCATGGAAATACAAAGCAAATCAGGCAGAACTAATCACTCCTTTACAAAAACTATATTCCAGGAAAAGCAGACATGTCACTACCACTGTTGGAAAAATAGCCTATTCTAACTGGTAACTGTCCGATTAGATCAGAACTTGCTTGTGTCCGGTCTCAGTTTGGCCGATTTGGGTGAACGACTAGGTATTTTAAAAATAAAAAATATATAAATCCCAAAAAAATAAGATATTTTATTTGTAATCTATTTTTAATATTTTGCACCATTATACCAAAAATTGGAAAAAAAGAAAATGGCCATTAATATTTATTTTTATATTTTTTCATATTTTTTAAAATTTTTAAAAATACACCTGGCCACAAATGGATTCTTTAAAATTCATTTTTTCCATTAATTTTCAACTTCATTTAGATGTTCTTTGTTTAGTCGTTCTTTAAATATATTTTAGTAGATTTGTTTGTATTTTTTAACATTTTTTTGAGCGATCAGGACTTGCCCGATGAGAATGATTGAACCAGCCAGTTTATCGGTTGAATCGGTGTTTAAAAAAACGCCGAGTCGAACCGGACTCGCTCGGTTCACTGTACGGAATCGGCGAATCACGTACGGAAGAACAATTTTTTTTTTTTTTTTCCATGATAGATTTTTTTGTAATACTTGATCGATTTTTTTGTAATCCATGATCGAATTTTTTGTTTTTTTTTGTAACCCATGATAGAATTTTTTGTAATCCATGATCGAATTTTTTGTAATCCATGATCGAAATGTTTTTTTTTTTTCTTGTAATCCAAGATTGAATTTTTTTGTTTTTTTTTTGTAACCCATGATAGAATTTTTTGTAATCCATGATCGAATGTTTTGTAATCCATGTTCGAATTGTTTTTTTCTTTTTTTGTAATCCACAATCGAATTT